CAGTCCATTTCCCTCAACTTTTCTTCCAAGAGTCGTTTTTGAACCTAAGGGATTTTCTTCTGGATTTTCTCTGGTTTGCCTAGACGTTTCTTAGCATGTTCTGTCCATACCATAATGGAGCAATCATTGTGGTGCCTGAAGAAATAGCTGAATCAAAACAGAAATACACTGGCGTTGCTAAGAAGGTGTATATATGGGTTGGGGGGTTAACGAGATAAGGAAGAAAGGATTCCCCTCGGGAATAAAGGATTGAGGTCTGTTACCATCTGGTTATAGCAAGACACCTCATTTTTCATTCATTCATCCCACCTTCGTTCATTCATTTCAATGACTGCATGGTAAATGAAGAGATAAAAGTTCCATGCCAAGAAAACAGTGTTTAACATGTTTCTGTGGATTAGCTACTTCATTTTTCGAATATCGTTGGAGCTGAAGGGCTCTGGCTGCCTAGGGGGAATTGAGCTTTTCACATCAAGGCCATGACATATCTAGGCAGGAGGCAAATTGCCTCCGGCAGAAGGTAGCAACTTGACTGGTGAAGTCGAATCACTGCAGCTGGAGCTGGTATTCTCCATACAGCTGTACTTCTGTGCATAGGCTTTCGTCCTGATGTTTTTTTTAACAAAATGTTTTGTTTGTGTCTTCTGTTGCTCCATGTTAATCTTTGTTATCTTAGAATGGGATCTGACCACTTACATACTTGGCTGGCTCATCACCAGGATGGCTGTAACAAGACAACGAAAGAAAACATTACAATTGACATCTAGCTGGTGATAAGACCAATTAAATGGCTTAGAAACTTCTTTCTTTTCAGTGCTGGATTTCCAAACTTTTACATATATTTCCATATTTCCTTCTGTATTCTTCTATTATTCTGACTCAGGTGGCTCCAGAGACCACTGTCAGGAACAACGTTTTCGGTGCCATCAGGAGAAAGTGAACTCCAGGCAGCAGTACTCTCTGTGTGTCTCACAGAAAGCTGGTTACACCAGGTCCTATGTTTCTCATTGAGACGTAGATCACTAAACCCGTAGCCAAAACCAAAAGGAGCAAAGGCTAGCAATGAATGTAGATCATCTGGCACAGAAGGCAGATCCCTACACTTCCAGGCTGACAAATCAGCTTACCTGGGAATCTACACAGTCTATGATGATGGCTTTCACAGCGTAAGGCCACACAGTTGTATTAATTCACCTGCATAATCCTGCAGCATGATTGAATGACTGACATGAACATGTTAGTGTGCAGGTCAGTGAAGCAGTCTTTGATCAGCTGGAGGATTGATGGTGTCCTGGCTGCTGTGTGCCTTGCTTCTGGTGGAAGTCTGGAGCATATACTGACATCACTCTGCTGATGGAGATGTCTCTTGTCGCTGGAAATCTGAGAGCTGGTAGCTTTTGTTTTAGCAATATTATTTTACAAGTGTTTTCAGAATACACTCGTGTTTTCAGAAATAACCCCAAATAATTAGTCTGAAAGCTTTTTTTTTTTTTTTTTTTTTATGATTCCATGTGCTTTGTATACACATTGGTATTACTCTCTTGGAGAATGCATTGGTAAAGAAGGCTTGATCAGCTCAAATGAGAGAGAGTCAGTGGAGGAGACTGGAATAAAACACAAGTCCCCAAATACCCCAGCCTGTGTGGAGGATAGCTGCTGCTATTTGGGCACAAAGCATTTCCACAGCTTTAAAGGAGAAGTGTTTTATTGATGTTGACACACAAAGTGGAGTGAGAAACAGTGAGTGGTGGGGGAAATGTATGGAATGTTGTCATGCTGTCAATGTTACATCCCCAGAATTAGCAACACTACCAGGCTGTGCTGAAGCAGGCTTTTTCTGTTCCCCCTGTGCTGTAACAGCAATGTAGTACTTTTGTCTGCTATCTACTGACATCAGAGCTGTTGCCAAGGAGTGAGGCACAGCTGTGCATGCACAATCTGCCCTAAGCCTTAGCTGCCTGTGTGGGCACCACACGTGCACTGGCAAATGCTACTGACCACTGCCCAAATGTAAATTCACTGCATTCTCTTTTTTGCTACTGATAAATTATGCACCATTTTCCCAGCTGTTTTCATGGGAAAATGGAGTAAGAAATGAAAGGAAGTAACATCCTGTAAGTGTAGTGTGTGTGTAATAAGAAAGGTTCAGAATTCTTTCACACAAGCAGTTAGGAGACTCACCTCAGAACCTGAATTAAAATCAAGAGATTTCTCAAAGGTAGAAAAAAGGATAAAAAATACTACATTGAAAGGAACTGAAAAGAATAAAATCTAATAACATAGGATCAAAGAAACTCCAAGATCTGAAATGACAACCACAACAGAGTGAAAGGCAGCAAAGACAAAAAGGTACAACTAGGTAGGAGATAAAGCATGCTGGAAAAATACTTAATGTACTTGAAACAAAACGGCTTTTAAAACAAAACTATTTTCACAGAAGAAATAGGTGAGAATTCTGAAGAAAAAAAATTGGGTCAGATCATCTTTTATTAATCAGGCTTCATTCATCATTCCCTGCCTTTCTCAAGGTGATAACTTCAAAATCCAGACAAGCCTGTTGATTGTTTATGTAAATATTGACTCTCAGGTAATGTGTAGACACACTTTCTTTATTAGAAATTCAAGGGACAAGAAGACAAGATGGTGATATTCTTTTTTCTCTCTGTCCCGAGAAAACAACCATCTTTGATTAACTTTCCAGGACTAAGAGTTTGGTCATTTTCTATTCTCATTAAACAGGACAGGCTGCTACTTCTGCATGGACATTGCAGGAAAGTACAGAAGAATGGAAGACCTTTGTCTACATGGATTAAAGAAACTTGATTTGTGTTTCATTACAAGCCTTAACTCCAGGAGCTGGCTATTCTTTGACACTTTAATCTCCCTCTGAAAGGCTCAACTAACTGTGTTCATCAGACTTCATCAGATGACTCACCGTTTTGTTCTCATGAGTCATTCAATCAGTTAAAATCAAGAACACAATAGTTGCCATTTCACATTAGACTGCATGCTCATGCAACGAAGTCTAGTTCTGGTGGCAATTAGCACCTGATACTTATGGAGTTTAAATGATGTCTCAGAACTCATGCATGGCCTGACTCCTAGATCACTGAATAGGAGATTGTTTGGTTTTGTTTTTAATCAACAGCAGATTTTCAATCCCATTTTCAATACACCTACGCAACTCCAGCATGCATTTGGTATTGTAAAAGCTTTTTAGATTAAGCAAGCCCGAGTTTAAGAACAGTGCGTACTGGAAAGTTGAAGGAAAACTCTGAATGCAGAATCACCTTATAAAGAAGTAATTATTTAAACCAGAGTCTTGGCATGTGCCAACCAATTTCACATTGTCTTTTTAAGTAGCTGAAGAACATCCAGAGACCCTAAACAAATTAACTGCTTCATGGCGAAAAGCCTTCTGAATATCATTAGGAGAATTTTAAATCTAGTAATCCAATATCTACTGATGGTCAATTGTTGAGTGGTGTTCACACAGAAAATACAATGTGACACTAGGAAGGTGAAAAGCAGTTTCTGCTTTATATCACCTGTGTTAATACTGTGGGTCACTTGAATTCAATCTATGAAGCTTTCCTGGAATCCTGAAATGCTTAATTGGTGTTTTGGCCATTTTAATGAAAGGCCATGTCTAGCTCTCTTTTGGAAAAAGTAGCAGGACAGATGATAAACCTAGAGACCCAATCTCTCCATTGTATGACTATAAAATATGAGCCAGCAGTGTGCTCAGGTGGCCAAGAAGTCCAACGGCATCCTGGCTTGCATAAGAAACAGTGTGACCAGCAGGGCTAGGGAGGTGATCGTCCCCCTGTACTCGGCTCTGGTGAGGCCGCACCTCGAGTACTGTGTTCAGTTTTGGGCCCCTCGCTACAAGAAGGACATCGAGGTGCTCGAGAGAAGGGTGACGAAGCTGGTGAGGGGCCTGGAGAGCAAGTCCTACGAGGAGCGGCTGAGGGAGCTGGGCTTGTTCAGCCTGGAGAAGAGGAGGCTCAGGGGCGACCTTATTGCTCTCTACAGATACCTTAAAGGAGGCTGTAGTGAGGTGGGGGTTGGCCTGTTCTCCCACGTGCCTGGTGACAGGACGAGGGGGAATGGGCTTAAGTTGCGCCAGGGGAGTTTTAGGTTAGATGTTAGGAAGAACTTCTTTACTGAAAGGGTTGTTAGGCATTAGAACAGGCTGCCCAGGGAGGTGGTGGAGTCACCATCCCTGGAAGTCTTTAAAAGACGTTTAGATGTAGAGCTTAGGGATATGGTTTAGTGAGGACTGTTAGTGTTAGGTCAGAGGTTGGACTCGGTGATCTTGAGGTCTCTTCCAACCTAGAAATTCTGTGATTCTGTGAAAAACCACCAATTACAAGAGGTGTGATATTCAGCCAGGCCTTTAATTTATAGTCTCTGCAGGTCTCCATGTGTGCTACACTGTCAATCCAGTTGCTACTGAAGAGGGAGGGAGGCATTTCAAATGGTGAATGCGGCTGCAGCAAATCAGGATTGTCATTTGGCTTCTCTGTTCTACTGAATGAATGTCTCTATCACAACAATAAGCCCACCACCAGTTCTCTAGCTGGTAGGTCACTGGTCTTCTTTAAATAGTGATTAAAAGGGGACACTTCTGACTTGTACAATAATTACCATTTGCATTGCACAAGAGGTTATTCCAACTCAGTCTGTACCTAAAGCAAACATACAGGAACATTGTGGGCCTTGATTTCCTGCCTGAAAATAGGAAACACTTGTTTTTAAAGATTTTTTAGAGCAAGAGGCTGTGAGACTGTGGCTGGTGCCATCCCAAAGCCATGATTACACTTAACTGACAGGGAATTCCTCTCCAGTATTTATTCATTGACCCTGTAAGCTAGCACCAGCTTCTTGTGCCAAAGTCTCAAATGTAAACACCAATGGTCAGCATATCCAAAGACACACACTGCATGTTTTCCTCTTGAGCAGAGTTAATATTCAGACACCAGAAAACAATCACTCACCATCTTGATGGTTACCTGAATCAGCTGGAGACTTGCTGCGGCGCATAGGAGCTGGACTCTTTGCTGAGCTCTTCTGAGGGGTAGGAGATGACTTACTGCCTGTGGCGGTCGCCGGGCTCCCTTTCATCACCCGGCACTCTGAGGAAACAAACAGCAACCGTGGTCATGTCCCTACCTAATCTCACTGTCTATGGACACTAGGCGTGAAACACCCATGGGTGCCTTAGTGACTTTTGTCTCCAAAGACCTGTAAAAACCTCAACACCAAGGGAAAAACTGGCATTTCCACATTTTCTTCAGGGCAGAAAGGTGACATTTTAGGGGGAGAGCAAAGGGAACAGCTTTGCTCCTCTAGAGGAGTTGCTGAGACTGTACATCTAGATCAGGCTGTTCTCCCTGGCAGGGCCCGTCGTTCTACCTGGGTTCTATCAAGGATTTTCTGCCCTTCCCCTTGCCTTGGTGCCCACCAATTAGTAAGCATAGTGAAAACAGTCAGCACCTGTAAGGGAAGCATCAGGCCAAAAAAAAGTTAATCTCCTACAGCCCTCCCGTGAAGACCTGGTGGTAGTAATGATGAGTGCCATTTACGCAGGTGTAGAAAGCCAGCAAATAGCTCGTGGCATGACTTAAATACCTCCAAGTTGTGCCTGGGACACCTGCCCCAAGGGGTGTTCAACCAGCCTGAACCAACCTCTTTCTGTGTTTCAACAAGCTGCAACTTCACAGATGTAGAAAGCAAAGATGACCAACTGGTTCTACAGAACATGTCCTCGGTCCTGACCAGTCATCCCTTTCTGAAAGGTTTACATAAAAAATCTAGTAGATTTATGTGCTTAAAGGTAACAGCAGATGAGACTGTGTTTTCTAAACTAAATGCTGACAAACTCACGTGTGTCCCAGGAATTCAGGCATGTCAGATCTTCAAAACCAAGATTTATTTACATAGAGAGTTCATAGAAAAAGAACTTTGCCATCCTTGAAGCTAACTTTACTCAGTTAGGATGGTGGCAATAAAAAGGGAATTCCCTTTTTTATCAAACGCTAACTGGTCTCACTTAACCTCCTACAACAGATTGTCTTCACCAGGCTGTGAAAAACAGTGTTTTTTTTTACAAGTGAATTAGATGTTCCACATACATGCAGGTTTTCATTGGGAAGTTCAGCTCAGCATGCATGGGCTGGACTGAGAATCCCCTGGACTGCATTCCCTGATGGGAATGAACAAACGCAGTACAAGGCAGATCAGTAATTGGTCAACCGAAAACAAGTTGTCTGACCTAAATGTATGTGCTATTTATTTATATATCAGAATATCTATGAACATGTAATTGCCCTAAATTTTTCCCCAGGCCTTCCTCATTTTCAGACAGTCAAAAGCCAGTCTCTTTTTCTTCCAGACGGTTTGTGGGAGAGTTTGCTGTTGGGTCATGCAGTACAAGAATGTGAGAAGATGATTCCCTGTGCTCCAGAGATATTGCATGGTGATAATTAAACCTACAATAAGTTTATTCTCTCTCCTACTAAATAGAATTTGTAAACTGTAAGTTAGGTTAAAAATAATTGAGTTTTGTTTCTGTTTTCTCCCCTGAAGTACCTCACTTCTTAAAGATGATGCTACAGAAAGGCTTCTAGGGCTTCAGAACAGATACATCACAATTTTTTAAACATGTATAGGAGAAATGATGGTGGGAGAAGTTGACTATTTCTCCTTGGTACTAAATAATCATGTTTGATGAGGCACTGTGAGATAGCCACTCAGGAGAGTGTGCAAATTACTGTTCCTGGTATTAATCAGCCAGACCAAAACATGGGAAAAAATCATCTTCGGGCACTCGAGAAGTAATATTTGTTATGGCTCTTACACATAGCTGTGTAACAAAAACAATGCAACGTTTGGATCTCAGAGAGCAATTCTTTTGCCCAGACCAAGGCAGCAAATGCTATGTGAGGTGCCTCACAGGGGTAGAGTGAGTTTCCAGGTGCCCCTGTGTGGTATCTGTAAGTCAGATACAGGTTCTCAGAAACCAAGAGAGATTAAAAGGGTGTGAAACATCAGTTTTTAGTCACCTGAATTACTCCGTAAATATAATCCTAAAAAGGGAAAATACTTTATGTTGCCTCCTTCCAAGAGAGAATCCAGATTTATTTTCTCCCCAAAGGAGTAATTCAAAGAAACTCAGCTTTGCATTTTCCAGCACAGAAAAGCTGACGGAGGGATTTCTCCAGCTCAGCCATTGGCAAGTGCCAGTACACCAAAGGCAATTACTGGGCATTTGTACATCTTGAAACAAGGTAGTAAATGTGGGGATCTGATTGTGCTGACATCAGTATAAACAGGCCTCTTAACATCATGGGGGTGAGATTTCAGTGTGCTGATACTGAAACCAGCGGGTATGAATGAAACAGAGCAACAGCATCTGGAAGGTGCTCAGCAAAAGGGATTATAGGGCAGAAGCTGTGGTGGGCAGTCAGGAGGAAAAAGATGACATAATCTGCTCTTACGGTATTTCTCGTTTTGTTTCCTGATGTCCTGCCAGAGTGAACATAAAAGCCAGCAATCCAAGTGCTTGCCATCCAAACAGGCAAGAAAAAGTACCCGTGACAGAGGAAATTTTAATAAGTGACATTCATCTGTAAGACCTCAGCTTCTCCTTGCAGCATCTGACTCATAACAAGGAAGGATGATGAGCGGATAATGGGAAAACGCTGCTGGCTAATGGCTCCTCATCTGTTTCTTGAGAGGTGCAGGGCACCCCCACCCCCCTGAAAATAAAACGGAGAGCTGCAGTTGCTCAGTGCCAGCCCAACAGCAAGCTTGGTTTATTTTTATTAGAGAAATCCAAGCTGGAAAAATTAGCAGAAACCAGGAGTGTAGGCAGAGAGCTGGGCTTTCCATCAAGTTGTTCTGCTAGGACTGCATGCAATCTGTTTTACAGTGCGGGACTCCCCATGGAGCTGACTCAAATGCAGAACGTTAAAATAAAATATGAAGCTCACGTTACAGATCACTCCTCCAGCCTGACACAGCTCTCTGTCTGCAAAGTTTCAGTTGAAGCTTGGAAGCACTGAAATACCCAAGACCACCAAATGGGTTCATCTGGAGTACACAGGTGAGAAGTACCAGTGTCAAATAAAATTGGTCTTGCTAAGAAGTCATAAAAATGTGGTGTTTGAACATTAGAAGCTGCTTTACCTCCTGGTATACAGCAAGAGCTCTCTTTGGTCTTCGGTGCTGAGCCAGTTTGTAGCATACAAGATAGCATGTAGGTCCTGCTCCCTACACAGGATACCTACAAGCTTTCAGAAATAAGTCTGAATGTTTGGAGACCACATTTTCTTCTAATTTAAATAGTCAAAGCTGCATTTGTTGACTTGCTGCACTCACTGGCACCAGCTGACACCCTGTGCTGTTGGTATATACAGTTGCCAGGTAGGGAAGGTGGTAACTCCTACAAGCAAGCTCTGTATATTCTGTGAAATCAAATATTTAATGTTTTAATTCATCACAGAGTCTCACATTATTACAGATTTGTGGTTACAATCATAACAGGGACAAATAACGGTGCCGTCCCGGTCCCATCTAACAAGGGAATTACTGCTCTGTTTTTTGAATCAGCAGAAGAAAGAAGTAGAGGGAGTGATTTTTCTTTTTAACTGTGCTTGTTCTCATTTTTAATATTCACCAGCACACCTAAGGACAAGATTGACAAACAGTGGGTATGTGTTTCAAATAGAAAAGTAGAGACTATTCTTCTACTGTTTAGTTCTCAAGAAAAATATTTTCATCTGATTGCAACTGGATAAAGTTTAAAGGATATACAAGACCAGACTTTGTAATAAATATCAAAGTAATGGTACAGTGTAGCAGTCCACCTACTTTGACATGGAGTATCTCAGTCAATGTTTGCCTAATTAAAATATCCACTGACTGTATTAGTATCATGAAAGGATGTTGAATACCATGTACTAGGCCTTAAAGAACAGAACAAAAGCATGCAGCATTATTATCTGTTACAAGCAACTGAACGGTAATCAAATAAATTGTAATCAAATAAAAACAGACTGGAGAGTAGTGTGTGTTTAATGTTACCGCTTTCATCCAGAGAAAAGTCATCCTGTGCATAGCGGAATTTTTCTGGACCACAGGCGATAAACACATCATCATCCCCAAAGAAATCGTGGAGACAGGTCACCTACAGAGAGAGCAAAGTCATTCATTTTATTTTTAATTGGCAACATTCTGATGTGGCTCAGCTTTAATTTAAACAGGAGGGCACTGCCTTTCCGCTGTTTCCCCATCCCATGCTAATGCGCTCCTTGGTGCACAGCACAGCTTCTCTGGGCAAGTCAAGCAGAACAATGTAATTAAAAAAAAAAAAAAAAGTAGAAGAAGAAGGAAAAGGATCCCAAATACCCTGCAAAATCCAATGAAGTATGGCATTTCTAATCCTTTCGGGAGCTGACAGGCTACGTTAATCATCCTAATGAATTGTCCAAGCATTCCTGAGCTATTTCTACAATAAGAAGCAGGGGTGACCCCTCACAGGGTTGGTAGGCAAGGCTGTGACACCACTGCCTATGCTGATGAGTCTCTTAATACCAACACAGCCAAAAACTCAAGGTCTGCAAAGAAGAGAAAGAGTAGTTGGGCACACTACAGAAGATGTCTCCACTTCAACACCATTAGCGCTTCAAGCAGGTAGTTTGAACCTGCAGATAGCTATGGAGCTGGTCAGGAGACCTTAATAACACCTGTCTTTCCCTCCTCTCCCACATCCCTCTACCACTTGTGTGCTGGTTGGCCTGAAAAGCTGGGAGTCCAGCTGTGCCCTGTTTGAATCAGCCAGGACAGTACTGCTGGTGGCTGTTCAACATCCATTTTTCTAGGTGCTGCTCTGTGAATGAGCAATTCAGATATTTACACAGTTACAGTCATGGTAATTTGCACAATTGCCAGTGAAATAATGGATGCAATTACACAACAGCAGCAAGATAACTATGTTAATGGTAATGCCACTGGAGCCAGCAGTTATGACACATTAACTCATGTTAATGATATTGTGTAAGCTCCAGTACTGAAAGTTAATTCAAGTCATCTCCATGCAAGGACTAGTGCAAAGACATTGCTCTTTGCAGAGAACCTTTAACAGCCAGACTTGTCATCGGCATCTTGCAGAAATCTGATCAGGCTCCTGGCAAGCTGACAGGTGCTCTTCCATCTTCACAGACTGCTTTGAAAACTCATGAAGTGCAAAGTAACGCTTATTTTCAAGAGGGGGAAAAACACTACTGAGAAAATGTTGGAAAGTCCAAACACAAAACCTTAATGTTCAAGCGGCAAGTATGTTCAGCCCTGAAACTGCCTCCGCAGGCTGGAGAGACACCTAAGTACCTCTACCCAGTTGACAGGCCTGAGCTTCAGCCTGAGATCCTGATTAAGTACTGTGGCAGGAGGTAGAAAAAATGCTCATCCAGCAGCACACCAACCTGGGGCATCTCCAGCATCGGCCAGCCAGGTGCAGCCCACCAGCAGCACATCTGCACACCTTGGTGAGCCCAGCACATACCTACTGCCAAGGGGTGAAGTTTAAAAACAAAGAGTTCAGCTTTTTCACAAGGCCATTCCAAGTGCCTGCAAGATTGGCACCAACATTTCTAACGGAGATATCAGCCTGACAGCTGAAGCCCAGTGCTTTGGGATGTCTGCCCACTGGGGTCTTTACAGAGGATGCTTTGCAAGGGACTGGAGCGAGCACTGGAGAAACTTACTGCAGACAGGTCAAATTTTCATATCTACTGATCAGTTTGAGCCGGACTGTGAAAAGTTAATTTCAAACTCTAAAAAATAAAATATAAAGAAGGTTTTGGCTATCCTAAAAATCTCAGTATTTCACACTGGTTAATATAATGTATAATTAAAGCACTGCCTAAGAGTGCAGGCTCTGTTTACAATGCCAAACATGAGGGAAAAAACCTCCTTTTCTCATCAGCGTGACGTTCAGAATGGAGCAAGATGAAATCTGCTGTGGCATTGGTTAAAGATAGAATATTCTTTCCAGACTTCAGTGAATACCAATTTCTATTTGCTTAAAATTAGGCTGAAAATAGTTAACACATTACCTATTGAGAATTTTCCCACAGAAAAGATGACATTTCAAACCAGCATTTGTTATTACAGTCCTCCCCAAGGGTGTATGGCACTGATTCATTTGCAAATAAGTGGGTTTGGCTCAATACACGAGTTCCCATCTGCCTGCTAAGTGCTATACCTATGCCATGGAAAAGACTCGTGGGTTGCTTGGCTCACCCTTCAGTATGGAAAACTGCTGTACACTTAAACTTCATGCAAAGCTGGATCACAGCAGAAAGGTTCAGCAAGTTCACAGCCTTTTAGACAAAATCAGAAAGAATCCAGAGGCGCTTTCACCATCTGCAGGTCACAAGTCAAAGTGTGTATTTTGTCCTTGAGCTCCACATGACCACCACAAGCAAAAAGGAAATCCAGGCAACCAAGGAAACCTTCAGATCAAGGGTCCAAATGCGATGGAAAGCTACCAGCATGCACAAGGACAGAGACCTGGTTACGTGTCAAGCAGACTTCACTTTGTTTCATTCTTGTCCTTTCAGGCTAGTAAATGAACTAGATAACTTATTTGTTGTGCTCCTAATATTCAGGAAACAATAACTTCTGTATTCGTTTCACATTTCATTTAATTTCCCTTTCATTTTCTGACATAATTTTCACTATTAAGAACTCACCATAATATGGTGGAAAAGACAGCCACAAACTAACCCTATTCTCATCAAACAATGGAAACATTGCAAAATTCAGAAAATAATGTCCCTTCATGCAGTTCTAAGATAGCCACATTGCTTCTGTTCACCGTGTGTGGTATTTCCCATTTACCTTTTGATTAGCAAACTTAAATCCCTGACCAATCCTGTATGTCCGTGCAGCATGCTCCATACACATCACTGTCTACAGAAAGCTGCTGGAACAAAATTCGTTCATGAAAATATGCAACTGAAGTGCTGGATCTTACTGCAGCAGAGCCAGCTTGCCTCAGTGTGCATAGAAAAAGAAAAAACATTTGGAGGAAACCCTAGATACATATCCCTGAGGGACATTAAGCTGGGAAAAGGGACTGCGAGCTGCTCTGCTGGGACAACCCATTGGAAACTTCATTAGCCAGCATGGACCACTTCTTGTGCTGAACTTCTGCCTTGCTTTACCTGGCTCAGGGATTTTTAGTGACTCCAGAATAACCCTAAAAATCTTCTGATCTCTATTCTTCAAAAGTATTTTTTCAGGAAAAAAAAAAAAAAAAAAGTATAAAAATGAATACTACAAGTCTCTCCCCAGGCTGTCAGGACCATTTTACAAGTACATTTTCTGCTTTAGTTTACCCTAATCAACTGTTCTAATTATATCCAATAATTAGCCTGGAACACCATGAAAACCCTGGAAAAATTTATCCCAGTGGACAAGCTAAAAATCATTGTTTTTATATGCTGCATCTTGCTCTTAGCTATGAATTCATTAAAACAGGACAGAAAAATGGTAGCAGCCTGCTAGTGCAAAGACCTGTGCTGCTACCTGGAAATAAGGATTTTGTTGATGACTGTTACCTTGCACAATTAGCAATGACATTGGAAACCATGAAATTACTAACATTTTGGTTTTGGTTTTACATTTTTAAAAAAATCTATGCACTTTATTATTATTATTTACAATGGAGAATTAAATTTGTCTGTATAGTTACAGTAGATAGAATAGAAGGCATTGGTTTCCAAGCTGAATGTCCATGCCTTTGTTTAAAGGAGGAATTTTAATTTGCAATTCAGGATTAAAAAGATAATATTGACATAAAACGGATCATATTGCATTAAATGTTTTCTGTCCATTTCCTGCAGCTTAAGCAATGCCAATAAAGAAAGCTAAATCTTCACACTCCAGTAGATGAGGCACAAATTTATTTCTTAGAAAGTAATTATTTCTAATACATTTGATGGTAAATTTTTTCTTTGTGTCAAGTTTTGATTTATTTTTTTTAGATTTTATAGTATATATAAGGGAAGAAATAGAAGTTGGCAGAGATTAATAGATTTAAGGGAACACAAGACTACTCGTAATTCCTTGCGTTTTCACCAAGTATAGTTTCTTTCCTCGTTAAATGAAATCCTCTGCTTGTATTAGAGAAACCTTCCCTGAGCAGACAATGTAGCTAGGATTTCCAGGAGGGAATTTCTGCAGTGACACTCCATTACTGTCTGCTGCAGCAATTTTAATTGCAGAAAGGAAAGATATGGCCTTCTGAGGGATGCTGAGCCTTCTAGTTCCTTTTACCACAGTAGCTGTAGAACTATTTATCAGGATTTTGACAAAATGGAGCTTGCCTCAAACATCTCCCTGGATGTGAGCTCATGGTTTGCTTCAATGCCCTTGATGCTGTAGGTATTCGGAGTTCACCTGGAAAAGGAGCAGTAAATATGCAGGGTATATGTGCACAGCTGAGAATAACCAGCTATTTCTACCATCCTCCAGGAGGCAGCAGAAGTATTTCAAAATTATCACTCAGAAACAAATGAAATAACTAAAAACAATTAGGAAACAATAACCTAAAGGCTTAAAACCTTAGTCTGAGTCACCTACCAGTGCAAAAACTCCTGTGCTTTATAAGGGTGTTATGAGGACCTTTTGTTCCCATTATTAATCTGCAGAATGACCGAGTTTGCTGTGTCTGCATGGCTAATGGGTTGCCCACACTGCCACTCCTACCACCAGTATGAAGATTGTCACAGCAGTAACAGGCTCCAACCACATTTTGGTTGCTTTCACTGCTGGATCGAGCTTTGCAGCTTCTGTGGCTGGCTCTGTAGCAGGAGGCTTCTGGTAGCCTGGATTGGCCACCAGCATTTGCCAAGAATAACACAGGGCATGTGTCTGAAGAGGAGTACATCACCAGGAGGGTTAACTTCACTGTCTTTTTCACCTTTCTGAGAAATATCTTCATATTATCAGAGGTTTCTATTTTTAGCTGACAGAACCAGGTGAGGCTGCACGATAAATGGTCAGACACTGTAGCCAGTGATTATTCACAGCAGTGATTTATGTCCATAATCCTGCTCCCAGATTTTCCATCTCTTCCTTACGTCGCAGAATGAGCAAAGACCTCTGCTTAAATGGCCAGCAGAGATCTGGAAAGGAGATTTGGAATAATCACCACAGCTCTGACCCGTGGGCTGAATGTCTTCTGTCTCAAGGATTTTTATCTTTAACTACTTGATTCTGCGTAAGTCTTAGGGTAAGTGAGGGCCAAGGCAAGACTTCTAGCTCTGATCCTCTCCCTTGGTCATAAAAACTTGGCTAACTCTTCTATCTGTAATAACCCTCCTGTTTAAGGATTTAGATAGCAAAACAGAACGTACATAGGCAAGCTGAAATTGTTCCCTAATAGTTATGCTCAAAGAGCAGAGATGTCTATTTGCTTTCTTTGAATCATCATGATACTTCAGCTTAGAAGCCTCCAGAGTTCAGAACAGAGTAAAAATTGCCTTCAGAAAGAGTTCCCTTTAATACCAGAAAGACCACAGAAGACAATCTGCATGCCATGCACTCAAAGCCTATCAAGAGCAGAACGGAGTGAAGACATACTTTTCTTTTCTGAGGTGCTATGCTAAATGCTATAAGATTGAACACACCTGACCACCTGTCAGCTGAAGGCAATGTATTTTAGATGCTTGCTAATGGCCTTTCTCTTTCAACACTCAAGTGCCAGATGGAGCTGAGGATGTTGGACCAGCAGCTAAACAGGCACTGAGAGTTAACTGAGCTGAGAACATATCTAAATTCTGTTTAAACTCTCTCTTAACCCAAACTGGAGATCTGATGGACTTATTTATACTCCAAGACCTGTACTCCAAGTCAAATTGGCAGTGGTATGTTTATTTCAGGTCCAAAAAACCAAAGTCCTAAGTCACAAAGGCTGCCATGCTTTACAATTAATCAGTGGTGTGCTTGCAATCAACAAAGCGTGATGCAGAAACCGAACACATCCAGACTTGTCCACAAGAAGGCTCAGCAAGGTCATGTTTCAGAGTGAATATCAGGAACTAATGGACACACTGAGTAGACTTTAAATGAACTGCTTTCTTTTCTCCGACAACCTCTTCACCACACAGCCAGAAAGAATAAGATTTCTGATGACTTAAGGGGTTGAGCAGATATAATGGAAAAGAAAGATGTTAATATTGGAATGCACAGCACTTAATACAGTTTTTTTGGTAACAGTCTGAAGACTGAAAGCCCAAAGCAGACACCAAATTGATTTACATTTTATTAGATTCTGGTTTCCTGCATTTAAAAAGAAGGGATGTTTGAATTCAATTACTTCTTTAAAGTATGCACACACCCACTCAATAGATTCCACATTTGCATTCACAGAAAGAAAATTATTTATCTGCTTTTAGGAAAAAAATACTGCTTAAAATGGATAAGCAATAGAAAGATGCTTAAAGATGCAGAAAAAGCATGGATGTTGGCATCCACAAATGGATCGAGAGCATGCCAGCATACCCAAGTCGATGCCAAGGATGCGTGTGCAATATTACACAGTCTCTGGGGACCCTCTCTGAGCTGCCCAGCAGTAAGGCAAGGGGTCTTTGTCATCTGCTCTTCCAACCCTGCTGTGCCAAACATCCATGTAGAAAGCTGTCGAGACCAAGGTCATGCTGGCCCTTCACGATGTAGTGCACATCACGAGGGGAAGGAAAAATCACCTCTATCATCTAGGTTTCAGCATGCATAATTTGTCTGCTCTATAAAGGGCTGCAGTGAGATTTCCATTTTTTAAACATTGCTCAGAAACCTCAGCTTTCTTTTGTATTCACGGAGACCCAGGGCTCACATTTAAACCTGCATTTGTTTCAATCAAACTATGAACTCTTCTGTATAGATTTTTTTCCCCTCCTTTTTCACCTTCAGGAGAGAAAATTCTGGGCAAATCAGCATGATCAAATGTTTTCTTTGATGCATGAGGGAATTTTTACACCCCTTTCCTTCATTTCTCCAACTTAACATCTTTTTATTGATGAAAAATGCAGATGCCCTTAATTAGGCTGCATAGTGGAGTAAGTTGATTATGAGTGCTTTATGTCCACATGGAGTATATTTTGCTATATTGCACCTAAACCAGCTTCCAACCAACATACAGTTTTTGGACTGATTTTGTGCTACTTATTCAAGTGGAAGAAGAAATATTCATGCATGTACATACGTGGCAGCTTGTAAGACTTGATGCAAGAAGAAATGTTGCTCTCAAAAGGGCTGCAGCACAAGGTGCATATTTGTTTAAGTACTGAAGATGGAATAGTAAGGATAGGATAGGATCGGATCGTATCGGATAGGATAGGATAGGATAGGATAGGATAGGATAGGATAGGATAGGATAGGATAGGATAGGATAGGATAGGATGCGGGGGAGGGGGGAAGGACAGTAGCCAAGCTACCCAGTAGGAATGTTAAAGCTGAATTTAATATATCTGGTGAATTAGTGGTGCTTCCAAACCATGTGAAATCCAATTAGTCCCTGGAAGAAAGGTTAGTTTGTTATCGCCTTTCCCCATACATATGGAGGTGACTATGAAACAGATACATGTATTCAGGCTGTTGGTTCTTTTTGCCTAGGAGAAAGGCTTGTTCTTGCATTCAAGAGGGTATTAACACTGAGGACAAATGTGCTGTGCAGTTCAGGGGCATGAGCAGCACAGCAATCACCAATATATTAAAAAATTACCCTTCTTCCAGTCAGAAAACCATAAAGGATCAGGGACTTTGGAAGCAGCATGACTATATGGCCAAAGTCGAGCAACACTGCTCGAAATGGCAGCCTTGAAAGAAGGGGCACAGAGAGTCTGTCAACCTGCTCAGGGTCAGGCTGAAAAACCAATGGGCTGAAATTTCCAGTTAATGGGATTGCCAGAAACAAGCTCTTAAAAACCAATAGCTGTTACTGATCCTATTGTGCATATCTTCATAAAAGAGAAAGGCGGCTGTTCAGCTTTGTGCAAGTTTTTCTTTAGCTGTCACAATGGCACCGATTGTGATGGAGAGGAGCTGGTAAACAGATCCTCACCCTGGCTAAATAAATAAATAAATAAAATACAAACCCCAACGACAAAAAACCCATGTACCAGAATTGAATACGTTGGATGCATGCCCACAAGCAACCCCGCCATCTTCAGAGAACACAGAAATAACATTACCATTAGCCACCCAGCAGGCCCAGAGGAACGAAAAGCTACGCCAAGCATTTACCACTTGTAAGCAGGCTCTGAGGGGCTGGAGGAGACCAAGAGCCAAGCCTTACTTCCTTACTCTCACAACTGATCCCCGTGTCCCCAGGAAGCCGTATTTCCATACACCAGACTGCAGCACCTACCCGGTGCATGAAGAGGTGAGCAGCAGCATCCTCACAGCCACCCCTCTGCCTGCTGACTTTCAGGTGTGGAAGATGCTGGGGAAGGAGGGAGTAAAACTATTTTTTCTGAGAGAGCTGCTCCCATCCCCACACTCAGTGTGTGTACCCTGCTTAAAAGACTATGACATCTCTGCTTTCCTTACCCGCTTGAAGGGTGCCCTAGAAGAGTCTTTTCCATCCCTCATTGTCATATAAATGTTCCTTGCTCCGTCTCCTTTCCCTTACCAGCCAGCACTATGTAAAAATACCTCTGCCAGTTAATTATGCCATGGTTAGATGCATCAAGAACTTAACTATCAGCCCAAATGTTTCAAAGTATGGTACACTGGCCAGCTACAAGAGAGATTTCTTTGTGGGCTTTCACCGACCTGGGTACAGATCTGGCCTGCAGCCCAGCACCGCAGCAATAGTGGCTATAGATGAACTTTCACAGGGGTACAGAACGGATTCATTTATGTCTTTCCCTTTTCTGAGGATACATCCCTTGCTCTTGCAACCCCATTCTCCCTAACTATCACCTAGAGTGTAGCCATGGAAGCAGAGGACAGCAGCCCTGCACGGTGCCTTCAGGCAGAATTAAGTTATGGCAAAATGAAGAGGATTACACAGGTGTCCAAAATAGCAGGATTTGTTCCAACAGCCTCTCTGTGATGTGGTGTAATATGACAAAAGAGAGGAATTTCTGTCTTTGATAATCACTCTGAGTGACAAAGGAAATCATATTTAATATCAACAGATCTGGTTTCCGTGCAACAAGTGGATGTGTTTTACCAACTGAGGAAGCCTCTCTGTGAGAACTGCAACTATTCGACATTGCCGTGTGTCCTGCTGACTTCAGTAACTTCTTTCCAAAATAAGCACTAGGGAAAAGTCAGTGTCAGACTTGCCATTATTATTAACGCATCAGGAGAGCCGGAGGACACTTCAGTTCAAGTCAGGCATCAGCACTGACACTGAAGGCAGCAGGTTTTGAACTGTCTGTGCCTTCCCTAGCGCAGCAGCAGCAGCACACTAGCACAATTCACTACAGATAACCTCGTCTTCCCTGGCATTTGTGGTGAAAAGTTGATTAGGATTATGGCAACAAATGAGCACATTTTTTCCTGAAGAAGATGTGTTTTAACTTAGTTGCAATTAACAATCTTTTCTGACCAGACAAGACTACTCTGCCAACTCAACTCATCACATACCTGTATCTCAGCCTGAACTGGGTTGCTTGCAACTTCTGCTATTTGGGGTCTCCAACTACACAGGCTTTCAAAACACATCTGCTATTTCCATCATATCTGAAAAAAATCCTTTTCTGTTAATTAATTCTTAGCTGTGGCACTGAGCTCATATTTTGTACAGGATCCCCTCCATTTTGTTCAACTTCCACAAAATCCAAAATACTTTCTCACCAAAAGAGGTGCCAAAAGGCAAACATTTTCACTGCAGACACCATTAATGAAAACAAGACACAAATATGAAGTATTGGACCTTCAAGTCATTCTTCCTAATACACATCTCCAAACCTGACAATGACCAAATTGACCTGTCCTCCAGCTGTAACTTTATTTGCAGCCTATGGATCCAACTCAACATAATTTCTGAAGACCAGAAGATGCAACTGGTTCTGTATCTAATTAGCACTGCCTTTGGATTTCACCCCACTCATAAGCATCGAAGCTTTTGCTCAATAGCTAAAATATTCTGAAAAGACTTTAAAAGGCATTTTGACTAGTCAAACTTCAATGTTTGCAAGGATCCTTATTGCACTCTTAATTTTGGAGATTAATGGGAATTAAAAATGGTGTCCTTTAAAAATTAAATTGTAACAGATGCTACATTAAATCTAAAGGAAAGTAACAATTGCCACCAAGCTGTTCTTTCAGGGCGATAAAATAACTTCCTTAATTATAATTCTGAACATGTTCTTTGTGTTTTGGGAGATTTCCTGAAATCACAGCAAATGCATATGTCCTCCCTATCGGCATAATTTTGTTTTCACCTTAATTTCTGTTAATCTTTGGATAAAGCTATTATTTTTTTCTAATTAACCAGGTCTTTTCAATTCAGCTGACAGCTAAGAGGGTAATGGAAAATTCAGCATTATGTTCTGAACTAAACCAAATTAGGGTAGAAATTAACAGTGTTAAGCAGGCTGTGAGATAAAAATACTTTGTAGAGAACATATAGCAATGCTGCTGAAATGAATGTCTCAA